TTTTATGAACATTTAAAGATTCACGTAAAGCATAGGGGTATATTTTTATCCCCTATCGAACCCTACAATGACTTATACCTTGTAAAATCTATTTTCCTTCTTTCGAATGCATGAGATAGATCACCCAAACTCACATAATCATATGCATTTAATTATGGAGATGATAAAGTACATATAAACCATTAAACATTCATCATTCGTGTTTAAAAACAAATTGCAAAACAAAGAATTAAAAGTTCACATTACGAGGTTCATCGTTCACCTAGCACAATAAAAACCTAGCCTACCATGGATAAAATAAAATAGCAAAGAAAATATTTATGAGAAGATATCACCCAATTCTTCAATGTAAAGCACCAAATCTTGGATCTTGGAATGCAATTCTTCGTCCTAGCCTTCGTTCTTCCTCTTCAAGGTCGTTCTTCTCTCTAAGAGGGCGTAACCCTAGCTTCTAGATGTTATTCTGTTTATATGGGAGTCCAAAATTCTGTTTCCAAAAGAGTTCGAGCCAAATTAGGAAACCCAGATTTCGCTGAATTCTCCTTCTATGTGACCGCATAAAAGGATTCTATGCGGTCGCATAGAATACCCAGATTCCACACTGGAATTCTCTGCAAGGCTCTATGCGACCGCATAGAGATAGAATTTTCTTATTTCTTACTTCTTACGGTTTTGTCCTTGCACTTTGTTTTCTCCATTTCTTGACCTTTTTCCAAATTTTCTTGTTTCAATGCAAAAGTTACATACTCAATTTGATCGTGTCCTCTTCACTTCTTCAGTTTCTCTTCCGGTTCATCTTTTGAATATTTGCAGCTTAGTCCCCAAACTTTGATATTCTTCATTTTTGACTATTTTTCTCCATGTTTCTTCCACTTTCCACCACATTCATCACTATTGACCTGCAACATAATTTATAACGAATTAAGGTATGTTTCACGAATACACTAACAAATATCCATGTTTATTAGTCGATATAGACGTGTAAAATACACTCTTATCACGGAGGCTGAGCACGGAAACTGTGTCCATGCTGCGCGGAGACTCTCCTCCGTGTCTCCACATTGCGCGGAGTGTTCATTTTTCTCAATCTCTCTCTTCATTATTTCATATCTGTATAGTTGTTCCTTCTGCCCACCAAAATCACTATCTTTTAATTGTCTATTTTCTTGAACTATTGGTACATTGATAGATATTATTTATGGTGAACCCTAAATCTTTATTCTTTTTCATTTCTTTTCTTGCACTATTTTTTAATTGTCCATCCTCTTGCACTAACTTTTAATTGTTCGCGTGCTGTCCGTGCAATGTGGAGAGCACTGTCAGCGTGAAATCGAAATTCCCTTTCGGGGGTGTTGCCCCAGAACCTCACGACTTGACTAGGCAAGTCGATCCCTGTTTCGAAGTGGCAAACAATTTGCATAACAATAATAAACAAATAAATAAATTATGAAAAAATATCTAACAATTTTTCAGTTCATTATGTAGCATTGTTAATTTGTTTTGATGTTATTGAAAACTGAGACCATTATATAGACATCTATATTGCTAAACAACAAAGAATAGATACAAACTTACCGCTACCATTACCTTCAAAATAACATAATCCGTGTATTGCACTGACAATAGACTAGCATATGAATAAGAATGAGGAATTAGTTTCAATTTCCAAATGAGATCATTCCATATGTTGAAATTTACCTTAAGCTATCCAGACCTTTGATTATCCAAAATTCCTAATTGATTTTGAAGTGAAAATAAGTCTTTTCGGAGAACAATGGTTGTGGAAGTCCATACGAAATTTAGAATTAAAAAAAAAAAACATAAAACGTGATTAAAGTAAGGTCAAGCTTCAAGTCTAGGCGAAGCTTATGTGAATTCTTTTATAGAATGCTATTTTTTTTTTCTTTTGAAGAAAAGATATTCTATTAACTTCAAGAAAGCAAATGTCGAATACAAGGAGGAGGTTCCTCCAACACTATTCTCTCCTCGGAGAGTTTAAGTACTTCCTTTGCAAGAGTATGAGCAGCAACATTAATCATTCTAGGAACATGAACAACAGACCAGGAATCGAAGTAATTAAGCATGCTCCTAGTGTCCTCAATCACTAAGCCAGGGTAGTTCCAACAGTCTGTATCACCATTAAGTCCCTTCACTACGTTAAGTGCATCCCCTTCAACAATTATCGACCTCAACTCAAGATTTTTATCAAGCGATATTGCTTCCATAGCTGCAAGAGATTCTGCCAAAAAAAAACATCTGGTAGCAATTTCCTTTGGTACATCAACGCCGCTTTGAGTTGTCCTGCCCAGTCTCTCACCACCACACCAATTCCAATTCGGCTATTAGACGCATCTACCGCTGCATCCCAGTTTATTTTAAACGTATTTGGGGGGGGGGGTACATTGGTTCCTCTAGTCATACAGATAACCGGCAGGGAGTTAATTTCTCTGTACTCCATTGCAATCTGTCTGGCTGAATTTGAGACTGAAATTGGACCTTCGAATTTGTTCTAAAAAATAAAAGAATTCCGCCTCTTCCAGATTAAATAGATTGTGGTTGTGAAGATCTGCATTTCCTCGTCGGTTAGCACATTAAGCATATAGCTAACAAGATTGTTGAAGTGTATCGATAGGTAGGACATTTTCTGAAATCTCCGAGTGCTTGAGCCCCAAACCTCTTGGGCTGACACACAGGACCACAAAGCATGAACAACAGACTCCTCATCGCATGTACAGACCGGGTATAATGGCGAATCCCTTATCTGCGTTCTGTATAGGTTCAGATTGGTAGGTAGTGATTCGTGATTAGCACGCCACAAAACCATTTTTCTAGCATTTGAGACCTGAAGCTTCCAAATCTTCCTCCATACCTGAATCTGATAATTACCTTAGGAACATTGACCCAATGAATCCTGTTTCCCATCCTTCGTGCCCCTCTAAATAAGTTTGTCCGGGGAACCACACATACTAATAGGAATCTGGCTGATAATACTAGCTTCCACTTCATAGAAAACATCATATACTAGTTGCATGTTCCAAGTTTTAGTATCTGCATTTATAAGCTCACAAACGCGGGCATTCAAGAACTGATCATGCAGAGGATGATGAATATGTGAAGTTGGTACTTGGGGGATCCAATAATCCTTACCAATAACCACCGATTCGCTGCTACCAATGCGGCAAAAAACTCCGTCTCTTAAAAGAGGTAGGGAAGTTTTGGGGCATATGGAATGTATTATAAAAAATATAAAATGGGGTTAAACAGTAAGACAATTTTCAAGTTTTTACGAGCCTAAATAAGGCTAAGTGAAGTCTAACGAAATTTGGGCATGAAAAACTTAAAGCTTGACTAGAGTAAGGCCAAGCTTCAAGTCGAGGCAAAGTTTATATGAACTTTTTAGAACAATGATTATAGAACACCATTTTGAAGGCATGGAAGTTTTGGGTTCTTACATATTTTGACTTTATTTTTCTTTTTTGTTATTTTTTATTAGAAATAATTCTCTTTTACTTATTTTACCTTCACAACAAGGCGTTATGTAGGGATGACAAAAAATTCGACAAACCCGATATCTGCCAGGACATCCCGAACGGTGCGGGATTACCCACTTAATCGGTTATTCGGGTCGGGGAAGGCGGGGGGTATGGGTAATGGGTACCCAAGCCCGACCTCGCCAGCTTAATTTTTTTTAATTTAAAATTCAATACTTTAAATAGAAATTTTCATGAAATTTCATTAATTCTAATAAAAAATGACAACTAAAATTATCTAAAAAATATGACAAATAATAAAAGTCACAGTTTATCAAATATATTTGAATAATTTAACTTAAAAAAAATTAAAAAATATATTATTATCTCACTTTAATGAATGAGGAAAAAATATTGGATAGTAAATGGGGTAATGGCCCCGTCCCGCCTCAAACGGGTAATGGAGCAGGTATGAGGCGGGAAATTACCTCGCGGGGAGGGGAACGGGGGATGCTGCCTCGCCCCGTCGCTATCACTAACGTTATGTGCCTTAAGACATAATTTAACATAATATGACATTATATAATCCCTTATGTAAATTTTGTTATACACATGCAAGATCCTTAATAAAAGATGATATGGTAATATCATTTTTATTTATAAGATCTGATTTGGTAAGATTTTGTTACATGTCTATCAAGATTTATATAGTGGATTACATAATATCACATGTCACTCTATCATTTTCTCAATTTAAAATATAATCAATTCTTTTTATTCAATCTTTTTCCTCCACATCATATTATGTAATTCATTATGTACAGGTAGCAAAATCTAACATGGTAATTAGGGCTGGATATGGGTCGGTTTGGTTCAGTTCTCCCGACACAAAATTTTCGGGTATTTAATAAATGGAACCGTCGGTCCAAATATAATTATGGAACTGTTCGGGTTCGGTTCTATACCATAATTAATTTTTTTAACAT